AAGACAGCTTCAGCTGCTTATAATGCAGATTGCTGCAGACACTGCCTTGGTGCTCTACTCAATGCGGTAATTCTTCACTGAATTTTACTGAAGGCCTACTGTCAAAACAGCTGTTCAGCCATCGAGAGCAAGAATTTCTAGTCAGTATGTATGTATAGCCACACGTAGTCAAGGTAGGGAACAATCCTGAGTGTAATGTAAGCCAACTGTTTAATAATAAGGCTTTAAGACTGAAATCCACTTTTATTAAACTGGAATTATTTAACCTAAAATGCTGCACAGAATTTCAAGCATGCAAAAGTTTGATATTCTCAAGTCTCTGCGATGAACCTAAAGATTTCCTTTGTTTTCTTTGTAGTAGAGAGCAATGTATACAAGCAGTTTTCCTATGGCAGCATAGAAGCAATAGGAACTTATTTGTGTAGCAATTGTCACCACCCATACCTTGGAGAATGCAAGGATCTTTCAGATGATGACTATGTAATTGCTTCCACACATCCCAGAGGGAAGTTTCTTTCTGCAGTCCCATGTACTATAAGCTTTCCCGCCCTTTCCCCCAGGTGCATGAGCTCATAAGTCTTGCAAACAAGACAAAGAGGGATATGTCCCCATAATCCAAAGCTGAGGAGTCACTAAGTGGAAAATTCGGTTCCTGCTCTACAGCCTACATGGAGAACTCGGTGCTTGTTGTGCAGGTACTTCAGCCTCACTGTCACCTTCTCCAAATGGTGTTACTCTGGCTCCCCAAGACGGAGGGAGGGGACTGAGCAGAAAGTCTACCCTCTGCTGCATTTTCTCCTCTCCTCTGTGGCCTCTGCTCCCCTTTCCCTGTTCTCTACCTTTCTGACCTGGCCTTTGTGTGTTTGCCGGACATATTTCCTGCAGAGCAGGGATGGTTTCTGTGCCTTTCTAAAAATGTTCTGTTCTTTGTGTTGGTGAATAAACAGAAGAACAGAGCTTATCCCATGATCGTTGCGGGGGGGGGGGGGGGGGGAGGGAAACAAAGGAAGGAAATACTAAATTTGAATTACAAGCTTATATAAATTATGTTTTCAGAAAGTACACCGGATACAAGTTAATGCATTAAAGAAAACAGAGGTTGTAAAGGAAATGTCAAGAAGCCTTAATAGGCAGGTGCTTCTGCTAAGGCTGTCTGCTGTTTCTCACCATAAGGGTTGTTTTCCAGTCATTTACAACTCTGCCAAATTTTCTTTTGTTCATGATGTCTCACCTGAGTTTTTGGTTTGAAGTTCGGCCAAAATAGCTGAGTTGTTCCTAAGAAGCCAGGGAACAAACCCACTGTGCTTTTCAAACATTGAAACAGCCTTTTGTTGTAGAAGCTCAAGTGTCTCCATCCTTTGGTCAAGGACTCGGACTTGACACTTAGAAGAATGACGGCCTTTGTGTCAAGCAAATACCTTGAGAAAAATCTGCCTAAGTCCCAGGTCACAGGTGCTCAGTAGCTACTCAAGTCAGTTGTCAAAAACGTCCTGCTTCATCCTGGGGCTGAGCAGGGGCTTCTCTATGGTTGCAGAACAAGCTGCTCTAGAGCCAGGTCTGCTACTAGGGCTGAGGGCAAGAAGACTGTTTCGTGGGAGGTGAGTGCTGCCTGTTGACAAGCAGGCAGAGCAGGCAAGCTGCCCGCCTCAACAGGCAGGACCACAGCCAAGGCAAGCGTCCACCCGAGGGAAGATATTGAAAGATCGAGTAGGACATAGGGTAAGGGAGACTCGGGTTGGGGGATGAGGGGACTGCGACATTCAGGAAGGGGTGGCGTGAGAACCAATTTGGTCATTTGTCCTGACAGTATAAAATAAAAAATAATAAAGCTCCAAGACTTTTTTGAGCTGTTCTTGGGACAAGGCAACAGGGAATGAGAATGGTTGAAGGGATGAATGGGAGAGACAAACGCGGGCAGTAGTGACAAGTTTATTGGAGAGTGATACGGAGGCGTGAGAAGAGCTGGGCTAAACTGATGAGTACAATGCAACTGGAGCAAGGCAGGGGGTAAAGCTCAATGAGCAGGACAGGCCGTGTCTGTCAGAGCATACTTCTGCTGAGACATAGAGCAGGAGCCAAAATGCTTTACTCTCAAGCAAGTGAGCGGGAGGTGGGGAGAGAGGAAATCAGTACTTGGATAGAATGTAATAAATATGTCTGAGGGAAAGAGGGACAGCTGGCACTCACAGGTAAATCAGGAGCCAAAGGAAAACTGAATACCTGCTTGTTACCAAAGCACCATTTGTCCTATGCCCTAAAAGAAAGGGGGGGGTCTTGCAGACTGTCTTTTAACTACGTACGCAGGTGTGTGTGGCAGCAAAGAGAGGTCAGTAGAGCAAGGGTGCGCTGGCAAACGGACCCGTTTCCAATATTTACTTTTCTTGAATACATGACTTTGTTGTCTTCATAAAGTTCTCAACTTTGTTGTACACAATGTCTGTTTGGTTTGTTGCTTCCTGCCTACAGCTTGCTGGAGCTGGATCCCAGACTTCACAGCCAGCCCTTTGCAACAAGACGCCGTTGTCAAGATAACAGATATTTTTCCCACTGTGATGGGTTCAGAACAGAGCATTTAATTTTTTTAAGCAATCTATGTTAATGGAGTGTTAGCAGTTTGAAGTCAGATGCTCAAGACTTTGCCACTGGGTCTCTTTTAGCTAGTAGTGGGGAATCCGGGCTTTTATGTCTGAGCCTAGAAGGGGGCTGCCTTCTGAATCATGCAACCACCCGACATATTTGATCCCTCAATTTGATCCAGTTGAAAAAGAAGGCTGGCAAAAGACTTCTTTTGGGCTATCTTTAGAGATGTGCTTTCCTTTGTCAACTCTTCCATTTAAGTAAGCCTTATCTTTTTTTCCTAGGAGAATGGTATTAAGCTCTGCTTATTGCCAGGTGTTGAGGCAGATGATTAACTGTGTGGAGCTGCCATCCAGCTCTTCTCCAGGATCCCAGCTGAGCTTGTCTCCCCTGTGCTCCTGGAGAGAAATCTGATTGATGCTCTGTCAGAGGCTTTAATTTTGTTCCTGTTATGCAGAAATGTCAATAGTTTCTTGAAATATGATGCAGATGTTGCATTTAGGTATGCTGTGGGATCTGAGATTATGCTTCCACTGAGGAAGTATGCAGAAATTTCAGGAGTCCCGGGGACTTCTACTGAGCAGAGGAAATAGGTCTTTAAGGGTCTTAATACTCTTCAAAATCCACCTGAACTGCTGTGGGAACAGCTGTAGCACCTTTTTGACTCCACTCATCCAAATTTAGGCTGCGTGACCCAAGGAGTTTGTTTTGTTACCTGATTATTGTGGAACATGGTTGCTATTAGCATTTTATTTTGTTCAGTCACTAAAGGTTAAAATGGTGGGAACATTAAATGGGGAACAGGAAGATGCTAAAATCAATCTGGATCTCTCTTCTTCTCTTGCCCTTCAAATAAAGAAAGAGAAGGAAGAGGGGAAGCTTTAGTAAATCATGGAAATTTACTGTAGTGCGAAGCATATGGCTAATATAAAGCCCTGTTTGTCTGCAAGGGTTATTCAGGCTTACAAGGCAAGTACTCGGATATTGTTTATCAGTGTTGTCCTAACCCAGAGGCAAGAGTCAAGTAACATGTGCCGAGTGTGGGCAGTGAGGGGTCGTTTCTAATATTCTCCTATGTTAAAATGACTGCTTGCTTCATTTGAAAGAAAGCAAGCGTTCCTTTGCATTTTTTATGATTATTCATGTTTCCCCCTAGATATTTCTGTCTGTAAATTTGAGAAATATTGCAGTTTGTAAAAGAGAGGGGATAGACTGTGAGTCATGTTTAAATTTGTAATTTTGAAGAATAGCTTAAGATGACACATCTGGGTACCTGTGTTCTTCATCTTCCTCAGCATCCTCTTATTATGCTAACAACGTAATCTTATAAAGCAAAGCTGGTGTTTTCATGATTCAGCAATCTTGAATAAGAGATCCTGACATTCTGTTGTGTTGATTTTTATACTGTCTTTTAAGGTATGACGGTAACAAATCGATGCATGGTATTTCTGAATGTCACAGCGTGCAGACAGTAGGCCTTGCGGCAAATTATTATCCAGACCGAAAATATAGCACATATATTAAAAATGACCAAATACATGAGAAAATAACAAATCCGAGCCCGTCTGCCTTGTATTTGCCTGTCGTTTCTATTTTGATTGCGATTGGCTGGCAAGGGCTGCTGCTGGCATTGCACAATTGGCTTAGATGGGGAATTACAAAACAGGAGCAGATCCCTTGATTGGGACACGGTAGCACATGCAGCTGAGCACAGGCAAAAAAGAAAGGTCACCCATGCACAAGGAGTTGAGCGGAATCTCTCACAGATGTTTTCATTCCAGAGAAGCGCATCTGATCTCATTTTTCTCATCTATGACTTGGCATCTTTAAATGCCATAGGGATTTTTTGTTTTGGTGAATGTAAAAATGCACCTGGGAACAAGTTTGCAACCTGGAGGCACATGAGAATTTCAGATGCGCGGAGCAGTATCATGCAATGATCAGAAGGATATGCTTTTTTAAGGAGTTTTAAATATCAGTGAGGAGGGAGGCAACAGAAGGTTAAAAGCAGATGCAAAAGGAAAACAGCTTTGTTTTGATCCTGAAATTATACTGAAAGCAGCATGAAGGAGGGATTTTATCGGCACCAAAACAATGGAGAATCAAAGGGGGTTATTTTCTTCTGAAATAATGTAAAAACTATCTTTTGTGAAAAAGAAGAATTCATTATTTGAATATGGTTTGAAGCTCTGTGGAACATATTTGGGACTGCTGCATCTTTCCAATGGTGTATAGTATAGCATATTTTTCTTTAAGTTGTTCAGATGAAGAAGATTCTGCACAAAAAGGTCAGGCTACTTTTTTCTTTCTTTTTTTTTTTTTAACTAGTTTTTAACTGCTTTTTTGAGTGAGAGAACCAGAGGAGTTTCATTTGTATTTTTAACTAAACTTTCTCTTTTTCTTCTTTCCTCCTCCAAACTTAGTTTACGAGATGCTGGAATTGGATTTATTCTTGTCATAGATCGCAGACAGGACAAATGGACCTCCGTGAAAGCTTCCATACTGCGGATAGCAGTGAGTACTGTTTTAAATTAACTCCTTAGAAAGATTTTTCTCTGTTGAACCTTCTTCTTATGAGTAGAAAAACAGCAAATATTTTATTTCTTCAAGAAAATGTTAGCTGATAGATGACACAAAAAGTATCCGGTAGTTCTTTTGTATCCCAGCTGACTGGGACCGAGTATCATGTGTCTATAACATGCTTTCAATGCAGTTTGCAGCTCAGGACATCTTCCTGATGTGAAGAGCACGTGTGTGTGCACGTGCGTGTGTGTGCATGCAAATGTGTGCGGCATGCAGCTCTCCCAGTTAGGAACCAATATTTGTATGGACAGCCCATGTGTCCCATAGAGCTTTGGGTCCACCTTTCGCTATTCAAGTGAGCTTCCATTTTAGGAAGAGATGAGGATGAGGGTCCTGGTTTAGTTTACCGCTTGTGAAAGGAATTCAGGTGTAAAAGCTGATCTTGTGGTGTTCGAGTTAAAACAAGGGTTGCTTGTAAGCAAGAAAATCTTATGTACTTACTATGATCAATCAACAGCACACACTGTTACTTTCAGCCTCCTTTTAATATTTTTAAAATATGAAAACTAAGCTTATTAGAGGCTCTTTTTTTTTTTTTTTACACAAGGAGGAAAAGACAGATTCATGTTTATCATGTGCTTATCCTACTGTTGGTTACTTTTTTGATGTTGTTTTTTTCTTGTTACCCTTGCTTGAACTGTTAGTGTTTAATAATCTTTCCAGTAAGTGCTGAAAAACAGAGCTGTAAGCATCTTTTCTTTAATTTTTAAAGGCTGAAAATTTTTGGCTCTGTAAGATGAAAGTCAAATCAAAACAGTAAATGTCATTTTTGTGTAACTGCATTCTGACCAAAGAACTATTTGTTTATTGTAACTTAAAAGGTATTTGTTTAAAGGTAATACATTACTCCCACTACATGACTTTTTGTGAATGAATATATTATAATGTAATATTCCCATGATACAACTTTTTCCACAGTAAGTATGTTAGGAATGTTAAAATATTGAAAATATACCAAAATATTAGCAAGATTTGCTTTTGCAGCTCATTTTGAAATTTTGAGATGCAGTATTGAGCAGATTCCAGTAGTGGAAACTGAGAGCAGCATAATTTGCGGTGATTGAAGAAAAAGGACTATATCTCTGGAGTTATTCAATCTCTTTCAGAATTCGATACTGTAGTTTCTGTTCAAGGACAGATAAGTATTCCACAGATGACAGTCCTTTTATTTACATAATTAGGGTTGTAGGGGGTGGGGGGCAAATACAGGCATGTTGCTTATAGCCATAATATTAATGTTTATGGTACCGTTCCTCCAGTGTGCGTTTTTTTGCCTAGAAGCACGATATACAGAACCTGAGTATCTATTCCCTGTGATAAGGGGTCCATCATTGTAGTGATGGTGTTGGTGCCTCAGGGCTTTGCCTGGAGAAGGGTGTTAAGTGCAGGGAGCACTGTAGGTTGCAGTGCTGTTGATGATGGGTTATTTTCCTTTTTTCTTCTTTTCTTATTCTTCTGTGAGCTTTATTTAAAAGAGAAATCATGCTTCCTAGCTGAAGTCTAATCTGTTAGAGGCATGATCTTTTTTTGTATTTTTTTCTTTCATTGAACTGACTCAGCTTTGGCTTTGTATTGCATCTGTGGATGTATGTGGCAGTCCTCCTCTTGGGCGTCAGCAATAGTCACATCATCCCTGAACACTTTGAAATTTTTTATTTCTATTCCAAAAAAATAAATAGTGAAAAATCATTGTTTGCTGTTGTCTACCATTTGTTTGCTATAATACTTGCCATAAATGAACTCTAAATACATTTCTGCTGTTTGTTGCTTAAAAAAACAAAGTCAGATATACATGATACGTATGTTGTGCCAAAGTCGTGAGGTTTTCTCTAGGTCCTGTTGATGAACAAAGATTTTTTTAAATGGCTTAAGGGTAACTGGAGGCTTAACTTCTACTTGTTTGGTTTTCCTAACGGTCAGAGTTGTCTTTGGATGGTAATGCAGCATCTGAGTGTCATTTGGGCTGTCCAGATTGAACCTTATGTCTGAAAGCCTGGTATCTCTAGCAGTTTTGATTGCTAAAGCTTATTGCTGTGTGTGAGGATACGAGTCTCATGTTATTTGAGAAGAGAGTTTTGGCTATTGGCTCATTTGTTGTAGTTCCTGCAGTGTCCTCCCTGCCGTTATTCCTGATTTTTTTTTTTTTTCTAATTGTCCTGAGGAGGTTGACTCTCTTGATTTGTCAAATCAGAGATGCCAGCACAGGGTGCTGTGGCTGGAGCACTGCCCAACAGGAATATCCTGGCTGGAGCATCTGCCCATCACTAATATCCCGACAACCATAGGAAATATATTCATAAGCACTGAGCAGCTGCTAGTCAGACATTCATACTAGCATGTATTTTTTTATTATTTTATGTTATTTTCAAGACTCTTCACACACAAACATTTGGCTTGTACTAGTGGGTGTTGGAAGTATGTTTTAAAACAAAACTAAAGAAGAAAGAATTTTTGTTTCAGGCTGAAATTATTGTGGAAAATCTTTCTACATTATGAAAAATTTCTAGGCTTCATTTTTTTTTTCTTTGCTGTTAGGGATCATTTTCTTTCCTGGGACAGAAAATAAGCAATGACAAGCTGAATCTGGATTTCATGCTGATCCTTTAAGGTTGCTATAGACAGTCAAGGCAGTGAAGATGAGGTAAACCTATTTTTGCAGACATAATGGAAGGGCAGTGGCTGCACCATTCACCCAGGATGACTACTGCTGAAGCACATGCAGTGGCAGCAGAACTGAAGCCAAAGCCAGAGGCACTGGGCTGAAAAATGGTCCCTCTTTTCCTGGGATGTGTCAGATTGTGGCAAGCACGTGCCCAGTTGCGCAGGCTTTGCTATTGTTACACTCTACTTGACAAAGTTGCAGTGGGCAAGCAGCCCAGTGCAAGACTGCAGACCCTGTGGCTTAAGAGACACTGCAAACAAGATTATTTTTTTTTATTTTTCCCCTGATTTAGCTGAAGTGAAGTTACTAGCCTAGTGCAGTCAGGAATGGCCTGTGTTTGGAGTGTGACTCATCCTATCCAAGGTAGGTGGGATGGATAACCTAGAGATACTGTTGACTGTTTAGAAGCTTAGCTTTTAGATGGCTGTAAGTTGGACAGAATTCACCCCTACTGTTGAGTCACTAGGATGAATCTGGCCTACTGGGATAGCCAGGCTAAGAGGTGGAGTTCTGGTAAAGATGCCAAAAGCCAAGCTTCATGTCGTTAAGTGTGAAGTCTTGGCAGTAAATTTTCATGTTCTTAGAGAGGCTGTAGAAAACTGAAAGGTTTTACAAGAAAAACACCAAAGTTAGCTATCACAAATTGTTCACTCTTACTGCATTGTTGTTTGAAGAAACAGATTTTTTTTGCCCTGTCAGCTGCTGAGATTCTTCTAAATTTATATTATAGTGTCCAGATTTCAGTTAAACATGATATGCAGAGACGCACAAGACCTTGCTGAACTTTTTAGCTCCTGTGGCTGAGCAAGTGGGTAGGCTCGTGAAAATAAGGCATGGTTCCTGAATGGTGGTGCAAGGAGGAGCAGTCACATAGCTTGGTAAAACAGCTCCGTATTGTCCCAGCTGAAGTTGGGTGAATGGCAAACACCAGACAAATTGATCCCCATTGCCTTTGCATGCAGTCAAAAATGATGCTTTCTTTTTTTTTTCTTTTCTCTCCTAGTGTTATCATACCCAAACAAGCAATATTCAATCCACAGTTGTAGGAGCAAGGCACATTATTAATCAATGTGTTCTGAGGTTTCACACTGCTCTGTTCATAGTTCCAGTGTGTTTTCTTAAAAAAACGAAGCCTATGTCATTACGTTGTCTTTGTCTCTGTTGTCCTGTCATCATTGTTTTCCTCCATCTTGAGAGAAAGGTTGAAGTGTGAACTCTGCGTTTTAGACAAACAAAAAACTGCATTCAACATCATTAAAAGTTCCACCACAGCCATCCATCAGCGTCATATTGAAAGTCCAGAGAAAATAAATTTCCTTAAACTTGGTGCTTAGTGAATTACATATGTATGGGCAACTGCTTTTGAGGAAGCAGCTGGTATGGAGGTCACTCAGGTGGTAGTGAGAAAGTTTTACTCAGCTGTGAAACTTTGCAGCCCTTTCTAAATGTGACAAGAGTTGGGTTTTATCCAACTTCCTGCAGAAGTTTGCTTTGTGATTTGCCACCTTTGACTGAGGATGCATTGCATGCAAGTTTCATGCCTTCTGTTTTGGACTGCATTGTCCAGAGCACTGTTTTTCTTAGCTCTTCATAAATCAAAATGCAGTCTTCACTGTAACAGAGGCTTAGCCCATTAATTGCTTTGAAGATGAGGGCCAAGACCTTTAGCTGGCAGGAGGAGACCAAAAGCCAGTGGAGAGGCTGGAGTGCTAATACCAGCCTAAACTCGCAGGAGCCAGGCAGTCCCGTTTTTGTGCCATCTGGAGTCTTATCGTTGGTTTTACATCCAAGGTGTGAAACAGTGAATTACAGTAATCCAACCTTGAGTTCTTTGGCCTGGTTTGTAGAGAGACGTTGAGTTTCTTAGCGAGTTGTTGATGGAGAAAAGATGCATTTAGTAAGTGATGCTCCATGAAAGGCACTATTTTATGTTATGGATAGGTATTTCCCACTAGCCCAATTTCTAGCTAACTCTTTGCATCGTGTCCTGAAAGCTGTAATGACACTTAACAATTTATATGGGTTAAGTTTGAAAAAACGGCTCTCCTTTCAGCCCCTAGTTATGTTTCTAATTTTCGCTTGGATTCAGAAGAACAGCTTGACAGTATGATAAAGCCAGAACAGTATTCTTATTAATTCTGTGGCTATTGTTATGAATGATTCCAGTAAATGATAAACTAAAAAGGTTATTTTGAGATGCTGTACGGTTTTGTCTTATTGCTTTGGAAGTTTTGAGAATATTACACGTGCAGGCACTTTTGCAGTTATC